CTTTCTTTCTTTCTTTCTTTCTTTCTTTCTTTCTTTCTTTCTTTCTTATTTGGTTTTTTGAGACAGGGTTTCTCTGTGTAGCCTTGACTGTCCTGGAACTCTGTAGACCAGGCTGGTCTTGAACTCACAGAGATCCGCCTACCTCTGCCTCCTGAGTGTGCGCAACCATTACCTTCCCTTATGGCAATTACTTTCATGTTATTGAAAAAAAATATCTCTTGGGCTAGGGATGAAACAAGTGAGAGAGTATATGTTTAGCATTCACATGACACAGGTTCAGTCCCTAGCAACACACACACACACACACACACACACACACACACACACACACACACACCTTTGTGTTACACTTCAAAATTTCCCCTTTTGGAAAATTAGAGACAATTGGCAAACAACAGCAGCCTGACTCCCATGCAAGGGTAGGGAGGGATGGTCGTTCCTAAGGGGCTGGTCTCTCTCATAATGGCTCTCTTTGTCCCCGCCTTCTGGGCCACAGGGATGCGTATCCCACGTGTGAGGTGGTGGATGTCCAGCTGTGCTACAGTGTGGCTAAGTTGATGTACCTGTGCAAAGAGAGGTAAGGGATATGGCCCGCGGCTTGCCCATTCCTTGCCCCAAGGTGCCCACCTGCTCCCTTGCCGGGACCCTTCAGCTGGCAGCGGGGGAGAATGGGTCTGCCTCCATATGGATCTCTGAGCTAACCTCCTAACCCTGCCAGTGACTAATTGCTGGCTGTGGCATGGCTCCAGGATGGTGAGTCTGTGTTTGTGCCTCACTCCTACCTTACAGAAAGAAGGCTGAAAAGAGCCTCACCTATTACACAAACCTGCAGGCAAAGACAGGCCGGCTGACCCTCATCAACCCCAAGCCATGCGGACAGTTCTGCTGCTGCGAAGTGCAGGGCTGTGAGCGGGTGAGGCATTGCCACCTACCTGCCTGGAGAAGGGGCCAGGCGTGGGTACCCTGACGCCTGCGTAGGGTTGCGTCACCCAGGGGCTCTGTCTTCTGGCAGGAAGATGCTATTTCTTACTACACCCGCATGAATGACAGCCTGCTGGAGAGGATTACGGTAGAGGAGTGCCGGGTCCAGGACCAGCCCCTAGGGATGGCCTTTGTCACCTTCCGTGAGAAGTCCATGGCCACCTAGTGAGTATGGCCGGACCCCTGATCCATTTTCTGACTTTTGTCGCTTGTGTTGAGGCACCTTGCCCTCACCTCTTGGGGGACATCCATTTGGGGGACATCCAGTCTACATTTGAGTGACAGCTGGTAGGGCTGGGCATGGGTGGTCCTTGCTGACCCCTGCCAGGCTGATGTGGTCTAGCCCCACTATTGTGAGCTCACCAGCAGCCTCGGTCCACTCTGCCGCGTCTGTGTGCAACATTTCGCCAGGTGGATTGCAACTCAGGACCCTGGGCTGTCCTCTGTCCGTTGACAGATGGACAGCTGTGGGGAGGCTGTGGAGCGCTCTGGGTATCCATAGCTACAGGATCTTGGAGCTGCAATCTTAGGTGATGCGCTTGGGCCTCGGGTCTTGATGTCATCTTGCCTTAGAATATCGAGTGTGTGAAGGGTGTGGAGAGGATGCCAGGCCTTTTGTGTTTTCTATGCCTCAGGCACGGTGGCTCTGGGATGGTCTCTGAGATGTTACCAAGGGGTCTAGCTTCAGACTGTAGCAGTAGGAGGTGGAAACGCACTCTGAGGTAGCAGTGAAGGTTCTGTGGGGTTCTTTATGGGCCGCCAAAGCTCGAGATGGTGAGGGTGAGCCAGGAGTCCTAGGTGGGGACTTCAGGAACAATCAGTGTGTAATGGGACCTGGTGCCTGCCATTTGTGGCCTGGGGACAGAGTGAGGGTTAGGAAGGTGGCACAGAGTCAGCTTTAAGCTCCAGGGTCTCAAGGAGATGTAGAGGGTGGCCCCTTGGAGGCCTACTGTAGTGGGACAGTGAAAACAGCACAGAAACTGGGCCAGATATCTGGGATGCTCAAACTAAAGTCCCGGGCCTTGGTTTCCTGGTCTGTAAGGAATCACAGTGAGGATCAGTCAAAACCTTCTGCCGAATGGCAGGCATGGCATTTCTTTTGATTGTTTGAGACAGGGTCTTAAACCGCTAAGATGGCTTGAAGTTCACTATGTGGCCTAGGCTGGCCTTGCCTACTCATGGTCCTCCTGGCCCAGCCTATGTGGGGCTGGATTGCCGACACACCACGCTTGAGTCCTTTCTAGCACTAATTACAAGGAGATAGTAACAACGAGGCAGGTGTCTCTGCTCATCCCGTCTGCCGTCGCCGTGGATGGTTGTGGATCACACTTGGACTGCGCTGTAGTAGCTCTGCGTCTCTTGACAGCATCCTGAAGGACTTCAATGCCTGCAAATGCCAGGGCCTTCGGTGTAAAGGTGAACCCCAGCCGTCCTCCTATAGCAGGGAGCTCTGTGTCTCCAAGTGGACTGTCACCTTCGCCTCCTACCCTGAGGACGTCTGCTGGTAAGTTTCCAGACTGTGGAAGGATGGGAGAGAGACCCAGATTCCTGTGGAGGCTGCCTCCCCGCGCAGAGCATAAATGTAGCCTGGCTTTAAAACAAAACAAAAACAAATATTCATTCATTTGCTTATTTATTTATAATTTTGTTAGTTGTTTTAACACAGTGTCTCAGTATGTAGCTCTGGCTGTCCTGGAACTCACTTTGTAGACCAGGCTGGCCATGAACTCACAGAGATCTTCCTGCCTCTGCTTCCTGAGTGCTGGTAATAAAGGCATCCACCACAATTCTCAGCTTTTTAACAAACATTTAAACACTTACTTTATGCCAGATACTATTCTATTTTCGTTCGTTTTATTATTTTAATTTTTATGTATATGGGTATTTTGCCTACACATGTGTCTGAGTACCATGCCTGTGCCTGGTACCCACAAAGGCCAGGAGATGTTGTCATGTCCTCTAGAACTGGAGTTAGAGTTGGTTGTAAGTCTCCATGTAGAGGCAGGCAGATCTCTCAGTTTGAGGCCAGCTTGGTCTACAGAATGAGTTCCAGGGCAGCCAGGGTTATACAGAGAAACCCTGTCTGGAAAAAACAAGACAAAACAACAATAGCATAAACCCAAACAAACAAACACACACACACAAACAAAAAACACTGTTTAGTAGCCATGTTAGAAAAATAAATAATTAAAATTAATTTTAATTCAAACTTCTTATAGTATACTCCAAATGTCAACTTACTTTTTGTTTTGGTTTTTCAAGATGAGGTTTCTTCATGTAGCCCTGGCTGTCCTTGAACTCTGTCTGTAGACCAGGCTGGCCTCACAGAGATCTGCCTGCCTTAGCCACCTGGGATTAAAAGTGTGCACCACCACCGCCCAGCTCAAATGTTAACATTTCAACATGCAAAGTTTTGTTTTAAACCAAGCCTTGTTTCTTCCCGTCCTATTCAGTCTTTGGAATCTGCTTCTCACACCTGTCCTCGGGGCTACCCACACCTCACGTGCTCAGTGGCCACATGGGTGCGTGTCTACCTTCTTAGACAGCACAGCCATAGGTAGAGTGGAGGCCATGCCGCTGAGCTGAGCCACATCTGTAGACCTCAGGCGAGATTTAAGGCCCACACTGAGGATGCTGGCATCCTCGCTGCTTGGGTGGAGTCCATCTTGGATGCACACATCCATTGCTTTTGAGCTCAGCCTCTGACAGTCTTGCCCTCTCGGCCATAGAGCATCCCAGAGTTTAGGCTGCTTTGGGTGATAAGACAGTTCCAGCTGTGTCTGTGCTGCTGTTTGCCTCCTTGCTCCTTAGCCCATGCCTTCCCTGGAAAGAATGATTAGTTCCTGAGTATCACAGCACTCAAGAATGCGGAGCTGGAGCTTTGCCTGGACAGAGTGGGTGTTGGTGACAAGCCTGGTGATTCCCAGCAGAACTGACATCTGTTTTTCTTTTGAGCTCCAGGACCTGAAACTTGGCCTTCTTGTGGCTGAAGGCCAGTGCAGAGAGCGTGCTTTGCTCTTGAGGTCTGGAGGATCCTCAGCCAGAACCCTAGTCTGGCCTCCCTAAACTTGACGTGGCATGCCTCAGCCACGGGCATGGCTGGTGTGGTAGATGGCCTATGCCTGAGAGATTAAGCCTCTTGGCTGGTGTTGTCCCCTGCAGGAAGAACCTGTCCATCCAGGGTGTCCGCTGGTGGCTCCAGTGGCTGGGCATCAACTTCACGCTGTTTGTGGTGCTGTTTTTCCTGACCACACCCTCCATCATTCTGTCTACCATGGACAAGTTCAATGTCACCAAACCCATCCATGCACTGAACGTGAGTGATCAATCTGCAGGAAGAGGGTGGTGGGGAACAGTGGGAACTGGACATGGAGTTGGAGGGTTTGAAGCTGGGGTCCAGGCCACTCAGTTCATGCTTGTCGTGTGTGTGTGTGTGTGTGTGTGTGTGTGTGCCTGTATGTATGTGAATGTGTGTATGTTTGTGTTTGTATGTGTGTGTGTGCATGTATGTGTTTAAGTGTGGAAGCTAGAGAAGGACGTTGGTTGCTCTATTAGTTTGAGACAGTCTCCTGTTGGACCTGGCAATAGGCTGGCGGCTAGAAGTGATCTTTCTGTCTCCACTACTCACGGCGCTGTGGGCAAAGGCCTGTGAAAACCTGGCTTTTCACACGAGCTGCTAGGGATTTGAACTCAGGTCCTCATGCTTGCACAGCAAGTAGTCTTATCCAGTGGGTCCTCCTCGCTCATGTTTTCCTTCTACGCTGAAAGCAAGCACGACCATGTTTACTGTAGAGCCTTTATGGTAATGCAAGTGTATTCACCTGTGGAACCAGTCAAAAGCTCAACAGGAAATATTCCTTGAGTTGAGTGAAGTGTATTTAATCTGACAAAATGTGAAATGTTTAGGAAAAAATGCATAGTCATTTTGGTAAGATTATAATAAAAAGCAGAATATACAGCTGAGCTTGAAGGCTCACATCGGTCATCCTAGCACTTGGGAGAATGCAAGTTCAAGGCCAGCCTGGGCTACAGAGTGAGACCCTGTTTTGAAATAGACCAGTCAGGACCAGAGAGCTGTCTCCTGGTCAAGATCTCTTCCAGCGCTTACAGAGGACACCGGCTCTGATCCCAGGACCACCTCAGGCAGCTCACAAGTGCCTGTCATTCTGCCCTCCACACCTGCCTGAATGTGGCACACATAAACTCGCACAGGCAGACACACATACACATAAACAAACAAACAAGCAAAATCCCCAACACACAGTGTGGGATTGCTTTTCAGCAGTGGCTCCAGTGATACACATATAATGTAGACAGAGAAGGGACCCAGGGCGTAGGGCATATGAAAAGAGCCTGGTTGGTTGGGGTGGTGGATCACCTTAGGTCACCTTTGTCAACCTGCTTGTTTTGACCCCTTTTGGGGGTCAGTTCAGTGCACACCCTGAACTGACCACACCCTCACAAGGGTCACACATTTCCTAGCAGTAGCAAAATTACAGTTATGAAGTAGTAATGAAAATAATTCTATTATTGGGGTCACCACAACTGTTTTAAAGGGTCGCAGCTTTAGGAAGGTTGAGAAGCACTGCCTTAAATAGTCAGTCATGAGAGATACTCAAGAGGCTAAGACAGGCCAGATGATAGGCACACCTATCATCCCATGGCTTTGGAGGGGCGCTGGCACCCTGCTCTGGCTGTGCTGTCCCTCAGTGGCGAATTCGGAGTCTTGGTTTTTCATCCATTACTGGGAATTGATCACCATCATGCTATACCTATGATATATAGAAAGAGCTCTTATGTTATTCGAAATACATTAAAGTCCACCTATGTCTACACGACACAGTTTTTCTTAGACTGACTGCAGGTCAAATTCATCCTCCTGCCAACTGATGCAGGGAAAACACCTGTTCCTCTGAGGACAGACGTCCTAGTTAGAGTTCCCCTTTGTCTGCCTTGTATAAACTGCATTCTTCTTTGATCAATTCTGGTGCTAGTTTGGGCTCCTTCAAATAAAGGAAGAGTTTGGAGGATGTGTGTAGCTCAGCAGTATAAAAAAGCAGCAGCAAGGTCCTTCATTTTGTCCCAAGTACCCAAAACAAATGGGTAAATAAGGTAATGCAAGCATTTAAACAGACTCACAAAAACACTTAAAATCTAGAACCTTCTAGAATTCATGTTCCTTGGTCTTTCATATGCAGTACACTCTTTTTAAGAACATATTTTATTATTTTTTGTATGTAGGTGTTTTGTCCGCAGATATGTCTTTGCACCACATGCCTGGTGACCGAGGAGGCCAGAGAAGGTGTTGGGTTCCCTAGAACTAGAGCTACAGATGGTTGTGAGCCACCATCTGGGTTCTGGGAATCGAACCCATGTCTTCTGGACGAGCAGCCAGTGCTTTTAACCACTGAGCCCTCTCTCCAGCCCCTAGCTTACTTTTTTGTAATTCAACAACATATTTTTTTTCCAGAAATTGACCTTAATAAATCTTTTCAAGATAAACTTAATTCAACTTAATCTTCCACATTTTTTGTATATTTATTTTTGAGATCTTGGGCATGGAATCCAGGGCCTCACACACACTCAGCAAGCACGCTATACTGAGCCGTATCCCTGACCCCAACTTGGTTTTTAAAGAGAATTTCTTTCCGGTTTTTATGGTTCTTCAAGAATTGAAAATAAATTAAATTCTGTAGCGACAGTAACTAGTATAAGCAGGTTTGGGACCAGATACCATGGAGCTGCGGCAAGCTGCATCAGCGCGGTGGGCGCTGACTGGCAGGCCTGGTAGAGGGGAGCCCCGGCCTCCAGGAAGCGGCCCCCAGCTTCCCACTGGGGCCGGAGAAGCCCATCAGATGAGTGGAGCCTCATTGCGTGTCCAGCTCCTTTCTTTGCTGTGAAGGTCTGTGTAATCATGCTGTGTGGTTACTGTTTGTTTTCCGACGCTTGAGGATTGCCCGCCCTTTACCCAACACAGCTTTGGCTCTAGAGGCTGGCTCTGAGCCACGAGGGCGCCAGGGACCCCAGCCCCAGCCCTGTCTTGACTCTCTGTGATGTACCTTGTCTCTCAGAACCCCGTCATCAGCCAGTTCTTCCCTACGCTCCTGCTCTGGTCCTTCTCAGCCCTGCTTCCGTCCATTGTCTACTATTCCACCCTGCTGGAGTCTCACTGGACGAGGTGAGCGTGGCTTGCTCTGGGGTGGCTGCCTCTTATCCAACCCGGGGCAGGAGGCACACCACGGGATCTCACTTTGGCAGCCTATTAACTCGTGTCTGTTCTGCTGCAGGTCGGGGGAAAACCGGATCATGATGTCCAAGGTCTACATCTTCTTGATCTTCATGGTGCTGATCCTGCCCTCTCTTGGCCTGACCAGGTACCTCCTGCCTCCTGTCCAGCCGCAGTCAGAGTCAGGACTCAGTTCTTATTGGCCTAGTCCTGGCTGTGTTTATCTTGTAGAAGGAAGATCCTGATTGGTGTGAACAAGACCTTGGGCTTCATCTCTAGTATTAAGAAACAAAACAAAACAAATGATTAAAAAAACCGAATGATTAAGAAACTAATGGATTCCATCTGCTTTTCAGCCTGGACTTCTTCTTCCGGTGGCTCTTTGACAAAACTTCCTCAGATACCGCCATCAGGTTGGAGTAAGTACTGGTTTGGCCACCATCCAGAGCGTGGGTTGGAATTGCTCTGGGGGGAGGTGACGGGGGGGGGGGGGGCTGCAGCTCTGGGTGGGGCTGCACTGTGCCCCCTCCCCCCAGCCTCAGGACAGGCATCCACTCCTGGAAATAACAGGCCTTGTGCTCAGGCCAGCCCTCCACATTCCTGGAACACTTTGAGGGAGCTGACCTACTTTGTGTATGCTTGTGGAAATGCGTTGTCTTTTAGCCCAAGACCGGCTGACCGACCACATAGAAGGCATGGCTAGGTTTTAGTGATGTCCCAGGAATGGAAGGATAATAGTTACACATTGTGAGCGTGTAGGCTGTGGATTGTTTTTGTCATGAGAATAGAGTTCTGCGTAGGGGTGGCCTCTGCCCTTGTTAGTACTCTAAGCCTCTAAGCCTATGATACACTCCCCTAATAGTGACAGCTATTATTTGAATCGACTCTATGTGCAGCTGGGGGAGATGGCGCACACCTGTAATCCCAGCACTCAGGGAGACAGAAGCAGGTGGATCTCTGTGAGCTTGAGGCAGCTGGTCTACAGAGCAAGTTCCAGGACAGCCAAGGTTACACAGAGAAACCCTGTCTTGAAAAACCAAAACTCAAAACAACCCCCCAAAATTAAAACGGCTCTATGCTAGATGTTTGAGGCCTTTTCTTATTTAACCCTTACAAGCAGCTATGAGGGAGACTGAGGAGATGTGTAAAGTACTTGCCACACGTGATAACACACACATGCACACACACCCAGCGCCGTGAGGTAGATGTTATTCCTGTCCCCATTCTGAAGATAATGGGGTGCAGAGATATTGAGTAACTCACCCAAGCTTACTCAGCTAGCCACTCAGCCTGTTTCACTATACTTGAGGGCTTGCACCAGCCCCAGAGGCTCCAGACTGATCGGGAATGGTTGTGGGGGAGGCTGCCCTATAAGGACGGTGCAACTGTTTCTTGCTGACTTGGCTGGTGACTCAGGAGCAAGTAGCTACAGACAGGCACACACCTACCCAGCTCCTGCATTTCTTGGTGGGCGGTGGCTTCTGACTACCACATGCGATGGCCAGCTCTTGGCTCCCACTCTCTGTGACCCGTCAGCCACCCCTGCCATGCTGTAGGCTCCCCCCCCCCACCTAGATCTGATATGCCCCTGTTTACTCATAACTCTCTCAACTTGGTCCAGAAAAGGTCTCGGCGCTTACCCTGCCCTTTCCCTTTCCTCTCCTTCCTCTGACACTGCGTCCAGTCTAGCAGCAGATTCCCGGAGTTCCACCTCCAAGACAGAGAATCAGACCCCGCCTCCTCCCTCCACCAGAGCACATGGCTGCAGCTGTGACCGTGTCCTCCGTGCCTTTCAGCTTCACCTTCTGCCTCCCCCCCTGGCCCCCTGCTTTCCAGGCCTACTTGCCTTCATACTGTTTCTTGGCACTGCCGGGCCCACAGCTCTTCATTGACGTCATTATCCAGGACCTCTCGGTGTCCTGGTGATCTGCTTCCTCGGTGATCAGCCTCCTAAGTTCATTAACATCCCACCCAGCTGGACAGCCCTGGGAGCACTTCCATGTTGTATATGCCCATATTTGCTTGTGTCCCCAGAAAGTGGACAAATGCAAAGACACCAGAGTCTGGAGCTTGGTTTTTTAATTTTCTTTTATTTTTTAAGCTTTGAGAGGTCTTGCTGTGTAGCCTAGAAGGGCCTGGAATCATGATCCTCCTGCCTCCACTGCTTCAGTGTTGGGATTACAAGCGTTATGGCTTGATTTCATTCTTAGCTTTCGGCACAGTAAGCGACACCCAGATGGTCTCCTCAAGTGTGTGCTGAATGAGGGGTGTGAGGGAAGCCATCCCTGAGGTCCCCCCGTTCTTCTTCTAGCTGGAAGCGCTGGGCTCCCAGATCACAGACCTGTATCGCTTTCCAGGTGTGTCTTCCTGCCAGACCAGGGAGCCTTCTTTGTGAACTACGTCATCGCCTCGGCCTTCATTGGCAGTGGCATGGAGCTGCTGCGGCTGCCCGGCCTCATCCTCTATACCTTCCGCATGATCATGGCCAAGACGGCGGCCGACCGCAGGAATGTTAAGCAGGTACCACCTTGGGTCTCCCCAGCAGTGTTCTTCTGCCCCAGTTGTCATCTCGGAGGCTTACTGCCTCCATCTTCTAACCTAGGCCTAGTCCTGGAAGCCTCTAGCCTCTGTACCATCTAACCTAGGCCTAGAATGTCTCCAGCCTCTGAGACTTGCTACTGAATAAACTCACTCTTGTTCTCACCGAGCTTTGGGCTGGCTGGTTCAACTCAGCTGTTCTGGCTTGAACTCCTCTTCCAGCTGACTTATTCAACCTGGCTTTTCTGTCGGCCTCTGAATTGCTCTCCTTGGCCTCAAACTAATCCCAGCAATCTTTTTTTTTTTAATCTTCTGGCTACTTCTCCTTCTCTGGCTCATTCTGTCTTCACCTGTGTTCTTTCTCTGCATCCTGTCTCTCTATTTCTGTCCCAATAAAACTGCCTCCTCTCTCTCTTCATTGCTCCTTAAGTAGCTTCCCTTTCCTCTCTCTTCTTGTGAGAGTTGGACATACCCTATTCTGTCAAGTATATTCTGTCACGTCTTTCTCTGATTTGTCACTGTTTCTGCCACTATTAGACATCCCTTTCAAACATGGGTGCTTCCTTCTACAAACTAACTTTACCTTCTTTGTTTGGGATTAAAGGCGTGTACCACCATGCCCGGACCTAAGCTTTTCTTTACCTGAAACTTGCTCTGTACCAGGCTGGCCTATCTGCCCTCCTCTGTCTCCTGGATTAAAGGCGTGTTTGTATCACACAGACCTAGAAGGTCTTTGGATGTGGTCTTTTGTCGGAGCAGCCATGTTCTGAATTAAAATTCCTCTACACCTTAGGGTTCCTGGACAGTGGCTCTCTCAGCTCTCTGGAATAAGTCCTAGCCATAGTGACAAGAGCTTTTTAAACCTTGGCTCAAAGGTGGCTTTGTCTGGAACCTCTTTGGATTGTGGCAAGTTTTTCTCTAGCTTCCATTCTGACTCATGGGCTGGAGGAAAGAGCCAGGGATTTTCGCAGTCTAACCAGTCTGGCCACACACTGTTTTACTCTTCTCATTGCCCGTACCTGACAGAAGTAACTTAAAGAACGACGGACTTATTTTGGCCTTTAGTTTGAAGGAACAGTCCTTTGGAGGAGGGAAGGTGTGGGGTGAGGTAAGCCTGAGATAGCCCATTACATGGATCCAGTTAGGAAGCAGAGAGGAGAATGCTGGTGCTCCGCCCACTTTCTCTTTTCCTTCTTCCATTCAGCGCGGGACTTTAGCCCACAGAATGGCACCATGTACATTGGAGAGGTGGTGCTCTGCTTTTCCCAGTTAAACCTCTCCAGAAATATACCCAGAGCCGTGTCCTCTAGGTGATTGTGAATCCAGTCAAGTAGAGAACTAAGATTAATCACCACACATGAAACACAGCTAAAACCCACACATTCAAGGCACCTGCTTAGGAAGAGAGGGAGATAATATACAACCCATAGATCCCCTTCCCGGGGGCCTCTGCTTGGATCTATTCTTAGCGCACCTTCCATGTCCAATCTATTTCAAGCTGTTTATTTATTCCAGACCTCCTGAGTCAGGTGACACGGGGCTGCTATTTCCCTCTGCCTCAGTGAACACTGTAAGAGAGAAGAGGCCAGCTGTCCTCTGTTTGTTTATATAGTATTCTGTGCCGCATGTCTGCATGTGTGCCTGCGTGCCAGTAGAAGGCACCAGATCTTATTATAGATGGTTGTGAGCCACCATGTGGCTGCTGGGAACTGAACTCAGGACCTCTGGAAGAACAGCCAGTGCTCTTAACCTCGGAGCTATCTCTCCAGCCCCCCAGCTGTCCTCTGTATTTGTGACGGCCATCACTACTCTCCTTGCTTTGCAGTGGTACAGACTGAGCTGGTCCGCGCCACCTGCGCTAGGGTTTAGCTGACAGCAGGGAGATGCCCGGTCTCTGTGGAATCTCTCTAAGGTGTGGCCTCCACCTGTATCTGCTCCAGGAGCTCATGGCCCTAGTGGGTAGACACATCAGAATAAGGGGACCATAGAAGAGCACTGGCCACCACGCTTTGAAAGGTCTGGGTGTGAACTGAGAGAATCTGGAGCTGGCTGGAGAAGAGAAAGCCAAGGCTTGCAGGAGCATTCCCATCTAACTACCTCCCCCCGGCCCCCATTGGACACTCTCCCCCTCCTCCCATGCTTGGAGTTCATAGAAAGATGTTTGGGGTCAGAACCAGCCTGTGAGCTCCTTAACCCTTTGTTTCCCTAGAACCAGGCCTATGAGTACGAGTTTGGAGCCATGTATGCATGGATGTTGTGTATCTTCACCGTCATCATGGCCTACAGCATCACCTGCCCCATTATTGTGCCATTTGGTAAGTGGCCTGGCGTGGGTTGGTGGAGAGCGGACTCTTCCACACCCGCCTGACATAGCTACCACTGGGTCACGGTGGGTTCCTAGCAGAGTGACTTCTTCTAGTTACTGGAACACACATTTCCTCTCCTTTCTAAACAATTGCTTCTTCTGGCCTCCCTCTGCTATGGCCTCCCTCAACATGTCTGGTGTGGATTTCTGTGCTGGCCCACCGTGGTATCTTGTTTAATGTGTATATGAGTGTGTATTATGCATGCATGAGTGAGTATGGGTGCCCAGGCACTCAGTGTATAGGCCAGAGGTAAATATTGGATGTCTTTTGTGTTGTTTTGTTTTGTTTTCACCCTTCCCTTGCCCTTCCCTTGCTCTTCCCTTCCTCTTTCCTTCTTCTTCCCTTCCCCTTCCCTTCCCGTTCCCTTTCTTTTTCCTTTCCTGTTCCCTTCCCTTCTTTTCTCTTTAAGACAGAGTCTCACTTTGTAGCCTTGATTGGTCTGGAACTCACCATGTAGACTAGTTTGGCCTCAGACTCCCAAAGACCTGCCCACCTGTGCCTCTGCCTCCAGGTGCTGGGATTAAATGCCTGCGCCACCATGCCCGGATTGTCCACTCTGCTTTTTTGAGACAGTCTGTAGATAGGCTGACTGGCTCTGGGGGTCTGCCTGTCTCCACTTCTCCCTTCCAGTGCAGTGGCTACAGCTGTGTCCCACCATGCCCGGTGCTTACATGGATGCTGGATCTGATCTCAGGTCCTCATGCTTGTGGCATCATCACCACCACCATCATCGTCACCATCATCATCATGTAGACCACCTTTTTTATAAAGACTAAGTCTAGCTATGTTGTAGCACAGTTGGGCTACAGCTTCCCAAGTAGTGGGGCTGTAGCTATGTGTGCTACCATGCCTGGCTCTTTTTAATGTAGTTCAATTTTTAATTAATTAAGGGCTGGAGCAATGGCTCAGTGGTTAAGAGCACACATTGTTCTTGCACAAGTCCTAAGTTCTGTTCCCAGCACTCAAATCAGGCAATCTGCCGGAAGCTCCAGCTTCAGAGAGCTGACACCTTTCTCACCTCCTTGGTCGCATACACAAACACATATATACTCATGTAAACAGACAATAACATCTAAAAGATTAATTATTATCATTTTAAAAGATTTGTGTATTATGTATACAATGTTCTGTCTTCATGTACACCTGCACGCCAGAAAAGGGCACCAGATCTCATTATAGATGGTTGTGAGCCACCGTGTGGTTGCTGGGAATTGCGCTCAGGATCTCTGGAAGAGCAGCCAGTGCTCTTAACCTCTGAGCCATCCCTCCAGTCCCCAAATTAGTTATTTTTTGGGACAGGATATCACTATGTAACCTTGGCTGACCTGGAACTCACTCTGTAGACCAGGCTGGCCTCACACTCACGGAGATCCGCTTGCCTCTGCCTCCCCGAGTGCTGGGATTGTGGCCCAGCGAAGCCACAGCTCACAGCCCCTCTTTCGCAGGCCTCATCTACATCCTGCTCAAGCATATGGTAGACCGGCACAACCTCTACTTTGCTTACCTCCCGGCCAAGCTGGAGAAGAGGATCCACTTTGCTGCCGTGAACCAGGCCTTGGCTGCTCCCATCCTCTGTCTCTTCTGGCTCTTCTTTTTCTCCTTCCTCCGTCTGGGTGAGAAGCGGTCTGCTGTGTGCCCAGTGCCAGGCCTCGAATTCCCACGTGCACACCAGCCGGTCAGATCACCAGCTGGTTTCACAGCATCCGTGTGCTGTGCTGTGAACACGGTGCTCCTGGGTGAGGGCTGGTTGGGATGGCTTGACAACCTGGCTGCTGAGCCAGGTCAGGTGTGGCACAGCTCCAGAAATCCCCATGGAGAAGACGGCTGCTGTGTCAGTTCTGGGGGTGCTGAGCCTAAGGATATGGAACTCTGTGGTCAGCCCCAAGACCCCATCCTACCTACCCTAGGCTCTGGAGACTGAAGGGACCTGTCCCAGCCAACTCACTTGTCAGTGGCTGTGAGGCTGTTATTTGGTGTCCCCTTTTCTAAAACCTGACCAGGGACAACATATGGGCCATATACCCTGCATGCTCTTAGGCGTGAGGACACCATTCTGACTGTTGGAGTGAGGAGCAGGTGTCTGGCCCCTTTCCGACGCAGCAAGCACGAGAACCCTGTACCTGTGTTCCCAGGTCTGAAGGCCCCCGCCACTCTGTTCACCTTCCTGGTGGTACTGCTCACCATTCTAGCCTGTCTGCTCTACACCTGCTTCGGATGCTTCAGGCACCTCAGCCCATGGAACTACAAGGTACCGGGCTGTCTGCCATGCCTCATGCTGGACTCGGGACAGCAGCGGCTCTCTCTTCTCCCCCCCCCACCATCCCAGGGGGCCCCTGTCTCCCCCTGTCTCCCCCTGTCAGCTGAGCCGAACTGGGAGCCTGGTGCTGGCTGGTCCTATTATTCTGCCAGTTACTAGTCTGTTTGTATCGGGGAACCTTAGTTCAGAGAGACTGGTTCTGTTCCTCATTGTGGCCCTGCTGTTGTCCACAGACAGAAGAATCAGCAAGTGACAAAGGAACTGAAGCAGAGGCCCATGTGCCCCCGCCATTCACGGTAAGCCGTCTGTGTTTTCAGCCCCATGGTGGCTATTTTGTGTCATTCTGGTTGTAAGGTCCCATCCAGACAAGCCATAGGAATTTGCTGGAACAGTTCTAGCTAAAGAGAGATCCCAGGTCAGCTGGCAGGCTGGCTCTGAGTTAATGTCAGTTGAAAGGGATCCCTGGTCTGCCAGGATGCTGCTGTACCTGCACGCCAGAGGCCAAAGGATGCCCATCTTTTTCTCGCTGCAGCACCCTGATTGCTTGCCCTCTCTCAGCCCCACTGCCTGGAGAGTTGGGCCTTAGTGTGGCTCTATCAGGGGCCCCTGTGGTTGGATGAAGCTTTGTCACTGGTTATCCAAGTGTCCATGTCCGGTCCTCTGACAGCCACTGGGAGACAGCAAACTTATGCCCCTATGAGTTCAGCAAATGTATAGGGTTCCAGAAAGGGGTATCAGGTTGCAAAGGCCCCTCTCCTCTTCCTGGCTATCCCGGCGTCTGTCCTCTAGAGTAATATGTCAGAGTAGAGCATGGCCCCTGAGTGGAGACTTCTGGCCATCCTAACAGGTGTGAAGGTAGGACCCTGGCTGGCCTCCTCAGCCTTAGTGCTCGCAGCAGCCACCTCTCTGGGGAAAAAGACTCTTCTTAGCCAGGTGGTAGCGGTGTATGCTTTTAATCCCAGCATGTGAGAGGCAAAGGCAGCTGGACCTCTGAGTTTGAGGCTGGCCTGGTCTACAGAGAGAGTTCCAGGACAGCCAGGGCTACATGGAGAAACCCTATCTTGAAAAGCCAAAACCAAAACTAAAAAATAAAAATCAAACAAACAAGCAAATAACAAAACACCAACAAACAAACAACAAAGCAAAGAACAAAAACAAAACAAAAGATTCTTCTTATGGTCTGTCCTCGGGCAAGCCCCTGACACGAAGGCCTCCAGGAGCACAGTTACCCAAAGGCATCTATGGCCCTGCCAGCCAGCAAGGAGAGGAGGCCAGGTGGACGCTGCAGATCCCTCTTTCCCAGCTTGGCCTGGGAGCATGAATAACTGACAGAGACATCCCTATAGACAGCCTGGTCCCCAAATAAACCGACATGGTCACCCTGAATACAGAACCAGGAAGGAGCGCTTCCTCTGAGAGCTGGAGGAAGCCGTGCTTTGTTTCTTAATATGATCACAAGATCTGGGTTGCAGAAAACGTCCCATCTTTATTATTTATTTATTTATTCATTCATTCATTCATTCATTCATTTATTTATTTATTTATTTATTTATTTATTTATTTTTTCTGGCTGCTGAGAAATATACGGATGTCTTACTTTGGGTTCAGAAGCCCCATGTGAATGCCATTTCTTGATAGGTCTCCGCCCATTGGGAGAAAGGGGGTTAAGGGCCTGACCAGGATGTGGGATGTCAAGCCTGCCACCACCCAAGGTCTAACTCTTGCCTTCGCCAACAGCCCTACGTGCCTCGGATTCTGAATGGTTTGGCCTCGGAGAGGACATCGCTTTCCCCGCAGCAGCAGACCTACGGTGCCATCCGTAACATCAGTGGGACACTTCCTGGGCAGCTGGCAGCTCAGAATCCTAGTGACGGTGTGGCCCCTGCCTACCAGGAATCCTGAAGCAGGCAACCTTGTGCTCTGGCCAGCCCAGAGCATCCTGCAAGACTGAGGGACACAAGTGGCCAGAGCCCCAGAGAGGCTCCGGAGTCTTTCTTGTTTAAAGCTCCTGTCTTGTGAGAAGAGGGCACCAGGCCCTTGACTGAGGGTATAGGGTAGGGCTGCTGTCCCTAAGAGCCACCTGTAGGCTTCTTTTCTGATCCTAGTGGGGGGACCTACCTGCAGCAGCTCTCTCCCTCGTATGCTCATACGAGGGCGTGCACTTTTATTCCCCCATCCTGCTAAGTCTGCTAAGCTACAGCTCTGTAATGGGGATGATGTCCCTAATGGTTTGTGGCCAAGATCACTCGCTGGAATTTTGTCTTTAGGGTGATCAGATTTGGAGACTATGGGTTGATGGGGAGATGTGTCCAGAACAGACCTGGTCCCTCTGAGCCCAGCTTAGCCTCTGCAAGCTGATGCGTAGCCAATGACTAGCGAGCCTGCAGCAGTTGGGTCTGAGCGCCTGCCTGCGGGGTCCTACAATCCCCCAGCCCACAGCTCCTTCTCAGGGATCGGCAGATAGTTGTAGGGACCAGGAAATACCTTGACCTTGCTGCCGGCAACAGGGCAGCAGGCTCCTGCCAACTGGCTGTGTAGCCGCCCTTGTTCCTGTTGTGCATCTGAATTTTTGTATCCTGTTACCTGAGACTGTGACCTGGGTCACCCCGCAGCAGGCAGGAACACTGAGAACTGTTAATAAAGTGCCTCCGGGCTGGTGGCATGATCTCACCTCTCATGCTCCTTCCAAGTTAATATATGGCTTTTCATGTCCACGCAGGCTTCATCCAGCCTCTCCATGGTGCATGTTCTCTGTCCAAGATAGGACGGGCAGCATTATGGGAGGACAGAATGGCAGGCACAGAGAAACGAGAGCACCCCTCCATTCTTTCCGCCTTGGGCTGCTTTCTTTTTCCATCACGGGATCTGGGGTTGGGCCATATTGGGCAGGCTGAGGCCCCAGGGCCCACAAGGAACAGAGTGGGGTGGCAAGAAGCATACGGGAATGGGTGGGACTTAGCAGTCCAAGGTTGGGTGAAGGTGTGGGCCAGGGCAGGGCTGGGGTAGATCAAAAGCCACGTGGGCCTGCCTTCATTTCAGACCCCTTACTACAGTGACCAGACAGGATCTGCCCATGCCTCTTTTCACAGGTCTGGTGGCCCTTGGTCACTTGAGCCAGGTAGGCAGCCAGCCACACTGCGTTTTCTCCCATGAGCCTGAACTTTGTGAGTGTCTGGGTGGTGCCATCACTACTCAGTTCAGGGTGACCTTGGCCAGTGGCTGGTTACAGCTGCCTTCCCTTCCCTTGCCAGTCTGGACTGATTCAGACTGGGCACCAAAGCACAGAGATGTGAGCTCACCTCTGGGAGGATGGCCACGTTGGCTGACTTGGAGCAGAGGATGTCCTTTGGCCCTGCTCTGCTCAGAAGTAAAACCGTTTGTCACCAAGGCTGCATTGCTGACACGGGTCTGTCGTGTGTCAGGTAAATTTTAGAGAAGATGCAGTAGGTTTCATAGTCAGCTGCTGAGGCGAACTGTGTTCCAGAGAAGCTTTATTAGGAGTGTCAACAATCTATGAGGGGGTCTTAAGGGGAGAGAGCAGCAAGCCTTGGCCAGTGTGGGGCAAAGGGAAGTTTTTGCAAGTGGGGAAGGTTCCATACCTGGAAAGCCAACTTAAGTGCTAGGAGTCAGGGGGCAGGAAGGCACTAGAAGAGTAAAATCATGGTTAAACTTGCCTTGGGTCTTGGCAGCAGGGGGTTGCTTGCCCACAGCTGCAAGGTGGAGGGAGAGATTTTGAGGACAAAGCAGTTTGTTCTCTTCTCCTCAGACCACTTCCTCCTCTGTGGGGAGGCATGGCTAGATCTTTCTAGAGCTGGAGTGCCTAAGGGCACCTGATGTTTTTTTTTTTTTCTTCTCTGAGACAGGGTTTCTCTGAGTAGCCTTGGCTGTCCTGGACTTACTTTGTAGACCAGGTTGGCCTCAGACTCACAGCAATCTTCCTATCTCTGCTGTCCTGAGTCCTGGGATTACAAGCGTGCACCACCATGCCCGACTAGGGCACCTGGTTCTTAAAGTGACCCTGTGTTTTAAGGTCTATGACCCAACATTGGGGGGGGGGGTGAAGAGGTGGAGGCTCCCAGATCCTGCAGGGCACAAAAACTTAAGCTCCCTCCTCAGAAAGGTGTCTTCTGACTTACGGGAGACTGGGGAGGAGTCAGGGATGCTGCTGAGGCTGTGGTTGATCCCTGAGGACATTCCTGCCTCTCTGCCAGGGACAGGGAACTTGCAGAAGTCCTGAGCCAGAAGCTTGGGCTCTTCAAAGGCAGCAAAGTGGGCTCCACACTCCACGTAGGAATAGCAGATGAGTTTGGGTACTTGGCCTTTACCCACTTTTCTGGGCTGCAGTATCTCACAAGGAAAGGCGGAATAGCCAGTGGGTACAAAACCTTTATCTTTGGGGAAAGGGAATTGCTGTGGGTTAAGGCTGACATCCTGCTCTCATGTCTGTAAAGTGAGACCAGGGCCTCAGAGCTGAGGGAGGCCAAGTGGGACCATAGTGATGGGCAGACTCAGGTGACCATTTCATATAGCCTGTTTCTACTTACTATGGAATAGGTCAGGCTAGCCTCAGAATTCCCATTTTGCTCATCTGTGTCCTTGCTGTCACTTGAGGGTCATATAGACCTTGTAAATCCCAACGTTTCTGTCCCAGCAGGCCAGGATCCCGGGACATCTGGCACCTTTCCTATCTTGCCATCAGACATTCTCCGAGGTGGTAACCATCCCCCAGCCCCAGAGGCCCCTCTCCCTGCTCAGCCAGGCTTACCCCTCGTGCCTGTGGACCACGACACCTGGCCCATGTTCTCCTTGCAGAAGCACTGGGAGGAGACAATGGTTCCTGTCGTCCAGTAGATCATGATGTTAGTCAGCAGGTCGTCCAGGGAGAACTTCCTGGGAAAGCACACAGGATGTCCAGGCTCAGTGCCAAGGTCCCCGACTCTCCGGCTTTCCTCTGATGACTGGTGCCGCTTTCTTCCGTAGGCCAGCTGAGCCGAGGTCCTCCGTTTCCAGGAGGACAGATAATGTGCTGACCACGGCAGGCAGCAATTCCCAGGCTTCTCCCCAGCTCTCTCATGAATTCATCTCAGCAGCCTGCCGCCATCCCCCGTCTCACCACCAGGTGGCACCTGTACACCTGGGCTTGAACCCACAGGCGCACCCCACAGCTGCTGCCTCCACGCCCTCCTGGGCTCTCTGGGTCTCTGCTAACACTACCCTCTGGTGACCATTCTCCAACCTCCAGGTTCAAGATTCCACGTTTCTCAGAACAATGAGTTTCTTGCTCTTAGGATCCCAAGAGACTTGAACCTCCTGGCAGCGGGAAGACGCTGGGCTTCTGGGTCTTCCTCAGGGGCTAGCACATAGACTGCCTAGAGGCAATGAACTAAGAGTCAAGGGACCCGGGTAGGGGCCACCTCAGAGCACAAACCTTACTGCCTTGGGGATAAGATCTTGTGCTTGACCCTGAGAAGGAAGGAGGAGGACAAGATGTAGCTCACACTCTCAGGAGTTGGGAGTCCAGCGAGTTGCTGATGAATCTCAGTTGTCGCGGAAGAATGTGACATTTCTCAGGGTTACAAACAGATTTCCCCGGAGCTTTCTGCCCTGTAGGAGAGACCCCGCTCTGGCCTGAGGCTGCGGAGTACTGCCAGTACTCTTTCGATGCCCTGTGGTTGTCTGCTGTCTGCACCTCCAGTGGTCCGCAGACCCTGTGTGGTTTCCTGTTCCTCCAAAGCAGCCAATCCTAGCCACTGCCACCTCTGAGGTTCCCAAACTGGTTCTTCCTAACAGGCTGGCGCCCACCATTGCTCCCTCCCTTCTTGCTGCCCTCTCTGAGGACATCTTAACCCACCAGAGAGCAATGTCAACCATCTGTCCTCATTTCCAGATCCTTCTGCCCAAGAGGGGGTGTTACCTGCCTTTCTGGGTCCTGAGTTCCCCCATCTGCCTCCTTGGCACCACACTGCTAGCCACCCCATCCCTGGGATGCCCGCACACAGTCTGAGGCTCATGACATCACTGGGGTCCTCCCACCCCCCAGCCTGGCCACCCTTCGTGTCCCCCCCCCCAAACTCCTCTGCGATTCTTCTCAGCCCTGTATTCAGAAACTGTTCCTGCTGCTTAGGCCCATAGTAAGGGGGCTCCTTACTGGGTTTTATCTCCCCAGTCTTCCTACCTGCCTGTCTCTCTGTCCTTTTCTCTCTTTCTTTTCGTTGTATTCAACAAAGCTTCCTGGGTTCCTTGGATGCTATGCTTCAAATTTTCCCTATTAGATCAAGCTTGGCTCTCAAAGACCCCTCACGTGAGCTCTACATCTGTGGGTCTGTGCTCTGAGGGGGTCTTTACTTGGATGCTCTGCAGACTCTGCCCCTCAACACAGCCATGCCAAAAATGATCTTAGTTTCTGCTGGGACAGACCACTTGACATCCATGCCAGCACACACACGTCAATGCACAAACACACATCTACCTATTCACAGCGTTCAGGTGGCTGGACATTTGCACTCACACATGTGCACACACGCACACACATATGTAGTTCTCTGGAGCTTGTGCACTCACACCTGTGATTACTAACACACGTGCACCCTCGTAATTGTGCACGCTTATCTGTGTAGCACATGCTTGTATAGGTGCTCAAGCTCCTACACATTCACACCTATGGTGGCTCTTAGGCATGTATAGTCACAGCCATACATGTGTCCATGAATACTGTAGCATGCAAGTATGCATGCTCACACACACAAGGTTTGGGAGAGTCCTCACACTCATCCCTACAAGCTCCTCCCTTCCGTCCTCCATTCTTTAGCTTGAAAGGTGCCATTTCCAGGCACTGGCAGCAGAGCCAGAAACCTGGTCCCGTGTCCTCCCTCTCACCTCAGTCTCCTCCGTGTCCTCCCTGTCACCTCCATCTCAGCTGCCCTGGTGTCCGTCCTCGCTCTTGTTACTGGTTGCCAGACCACAATACACAGGCCGCTCTCCCTACCTGGCCCTCAGCTCAGCTCCAGGTCATGACTGAGCTCCAAGGGCTGAGAGCAACCACTGGAGGAGTTTGCTGCTTGCCTCGACTTCCTGCATCCCTTTGGCCAGTGACCTTTTCACTCTCTGAAGCATGCTTTATGGAACACCAATTGACCCTGCCCTGCTTTCCCTAATGCAGTAGAGCCACGGAGATCCCAGAGGGTTGGGGGCCAAAGGGGGAATTATAGAAACATTCCTATGATATGGGAAAGAGGAAGAATTTAGTTGACAAGAAGCTTCCGTGGAAAGAATAGCCCCAAGACCAAATCAAACACAAGAATCCTGCAGACTGGCTCCCTTATCTCCTGCCTAACCATAGCTTCCCAGCTACCACAGCCACCACTTCTGACCTAGGCTGTAAGTCTTCTCTGAACTCAGAACTACCTGGCCGTCACTGCCCAGAGATCTCTGCTGCCCATGCCAGGGCAGAGACTGAAGCAGCTGCAGGCATCATTGCAAGGAGCATACCTAGTCCCTTGCCAGGGTCCTGCCGGAGTTCTCTCCCTCACGGGTCTTGCTGAGTGTGGTCTGGGGAAAATAGACTTAGGGCGAGGACTTGTCCAGGCTCCTGGTGAGCTGCTGGAGGAATGATTTTGTGGCCTGTCCTGGTCTGCTCAAGCCTCTAGACAAGTCCAAATTCAACTTGTTTTTAAATTGTTTTTCTCTTTGCCTCCGTTCTCTTCTTCCACCCAGGAGACTCTTACTCATCCTTCAGGGCCCAGATCCACTCATCCTCAGTTTCCCCTCTACACAAAGCAGAGGCTTTCTCTCACAGCCCTTTGTACACTTCTTTAGGGCTTTTTCTTCCACTATCCATTTCTTGAACACTCACTATGTCTAGACAAGTGCTCTAAAACTCAGCCATTCATCCAGCCTACAATGCTGTTTCTATAAAGGCGGGAGTTTGGGTCTATGTAGTCTGATAACTAAAATGAGAAACAGGAGATTTAGCTTAGTGGTTAACAGCGCCTACTACTACTCTGGTGGAAGACCTGGGTTCGGTTCCCTGTAGCTGCAAAGCAGCTCACAACTACCCGTAACCCAATTCCAGGGTATTGGGTGCCCTTTTCTGACCTCTGAGGGCTCCTACACACAGTGCACTCAGGCAACACACACATACACACACACACACACACACACACACACACCAAAGCAGGGCAGGGCATTGGGGTGGAGCTCAGTAATATACTTGTTGAATATGCATGAAGCTCTTCATGGATCCTTAGCACCGAACCAAACAAACAAAAACAAAATAATAGATGCCAAATACACAAATCACGCAAAAGCCCCAAACCAAACCAAAACACAGGGCTTTAGCCATAGCGTAGGTGAGTACTGGAATATGGTGTTGCCATAGGAACTGCGAGATGCTCAGAGATGGGCCCAGAAATTCTCAGTAAGTGGGTTGGGGGAACATCCAGAGGACCCTTCCCAGTCCTCCAATCCTTTCAGGGTTCCATCTACCCTTGTTATTGAGTCACTTCGAGGCTCAGTAAATTACAGAAAAGCCAGAGTAGTGCAAAGGATTCAGACTCTTGTCCGTAGAGACAAGACAATTACATTTTCCCAGTGATCTTTATCACTGTGTAGATGAACCTGGCATTCATTAGAAATCTGGTTTATAAACTGGATGGTGGTGATGAACACCTTTAATCCCAGCACTTAGGAGGCAGAGGCAGGTGAATCTGAGTTCAAGGCCAGCCTGGTCTACAGAGCTAGTTCCAGGTCAGCCTACAGCAGGGCCCCATAAACATTGGTTCATTAAGAGCACATCAGGGGCCGGGAGAGGCCCACACAGCCAGCAGCGGAGGGTCAGTCAATTGGGTTACCATCTGACAGAGCGCTGTGGTAGGAGAGAGTCATGTCAAGAGGCCGCCATTCCTATGCTCATCTCATGTGCAAGAGAGCTCACTGGTAGACGATAAAAACAAATCGCCGCGTCATGTCTGTCCTGTGGTCCAGTTTTTGCAAAAGCTGGGCTCAGATCAATCAGCTGGCCATGCGTCAGATCTTGGAGGAAGAAGGATCTGGAAAGGTCCAGTATGAGGAGAGAGTTTGGCAGCGAACATGAAGCAGGAGCCTTCTTGGACAGAACCTACTCTGGGGAGCACAGAAAAGGAATCTTGCTGGAGACTCGTGCCTGGGACTGAAGCCACCAAATAACACTGTGGGTGGTGCAGAGACCCACAAACCTAGGCGGACCCCGAAGAGCCCATTCTGCAAGTGCCAGGTCCAGCCCAGAATAGTCTCAGTGGGCTACTGGCCAAGGTGAACTCAGGGCTGCGCTCCCAAGCCTGCTGCCCTTGAAAGGACAATAATGTTTAGTGCCGTCTGCCTCCAGGCATTACCTGTCCTGCTTCCTCCTCCACGGGCCACTTGTCCTACCTTCAGGTTCTGCATATTGTGCAATATGAACTTTAAAAGTTCACCCTGTGGCTCTGGTTTCCTTACGCATTTCCGTATCTGATTGCCTTCAAGGTTGTGAGAGTTAATTGTTGATTGGCTGTAGATTTACCTAGGAGGCAAGTGTCCGGGCAAACCTGTGAGGAATTAACTAGATTAGGTTAACTGAGGCGGGAGACTTGCCCTGAACGTGAACGGCACGGTTCCTCAGGCTACGGGACAGAATGAAAAAGGAGAGCAAGTAGAGCCTGAGTCTTCATCGCTCCGTGCTTCCTGATGGCAGGTGCATGCGATCAGCTTCTCCGAGCTCCTCCCACCACAACTTCTTCATCGAGATGGCCAGAGCCCGTGAACTGTTGGCTGAAATAAACCCTTCCTTCCTAAAGCTCGTGTGTGTGTGTGTGTGTGTGTGTGTGTGTGTGTGTGTGTGTGTGTG